TATATACACATATATTGGCATTATCTGAACTTATGCCTAAATTCCTTGTAAAATGTGATTTGATCTTCATTTAATAATTATTTTAATTTTAGAGAATCTTGAAAAGGAATAAGCACATTGAGTTACAATCCAGGTGGTTTCAGTGCTAAGATTGGCATATAATTAGTGTTGCATGTCCCATGACTCAAGGCATTTATGATGCACTTGTTCATTTGTTGTCACAGTTGTGGACCTCAGCATAAATTCTACTTTACCCTGACCAGCAAATCAGAAGGGCTGAAGTGCAAGTCCACCACAGATAAACCCTACACAAAGACATAGGCTATCATTTTATGTGTAGGGAGGAAGACTGTGGGAGAGGATAGTGTATTAGATATGTAGATAGGTGGAAGATTACAGTCCTAGGAGCAGATGGAAGATTAAGTTCTAAGAGCTGATAATTTATTTCTATTCTCAGTGTAAAATCAAAATCGAGCTACTAGGGCCACTATTAAGAATAATCAAACATTTTACATTTTAAAAAATATAATACACAAGTTTTTTTTTGCATAAATATAAAAAAATTATGAAACAAAAATATAATTAAAAAAAAAAAAACAGGCTGCAAATTCAAAAATATTTTTTTTAGCTTCAAAGGAAAAATGAAAAAGAAAGCCACTGATTACTATGGTTAAGTGCCCTCAAAAAAAAACTTTGTTCTAGAAATAGCTAGTTTTAAGGTGTATACATCACTTTAATGGTTCTCAACTTGGTAATACATTAACTAATTTCAAAACAGCCGTTTGCTAACCAGGCCACATAGAAAAATCACCAAATCACACTCTAGAGTGGTAAATCTTGCAAAGAAATATATATATATGACAATTTTTGTCCCCGAATGTTGTAAGATACAATTCCATCTATGTGCGCCCAATGTGAAACTTAATTGTACTACTCTTAGAGTTTCAACAGTGTAATCCAGAAAACAGATGTGCACCGGCAAAAAATTAGTTTAGTTTAGTTTTGATTTGGATTTTGCGTTATTTAGTTTTTGGGATTTGGGTCCAAAGGCCAATTTGTTTCGGGATTCGGATGAAATTCATTAGCGTATGTAATCTGTACGTAATTTCGTTATGTGTTCGTTTCGTTGCAGCAAGTGACATTTAATTATTTTTTTTTTTTAAATGTCACTTTTGCTGCAATGCAAATTCGTCCACAAACGAAGATTCATACAGACAACCACTTTTGAATTTCATCCGAAATTTCATTTTCGGAAATTCAGATTAGTTTTCATTCGTCATTTCTGTTATTCGGAAATTCGGATACAGATGAATAACGAAAATTCGTCCAAAAAACAAATTTTTCCAAAATGAATTGCACATGTCTAATCAAAAGGAAGCACCCGTAGAGGCCTTTCACATGGGCATTCTGATAAGGTCCACCTGTCAGTTTTACAGGCTGATCTGATCGGAAGCCCAGTGTTAGACATGGGTCCATTTTCATCCGATTACCCCCAACTCTGTCCAGGTCCAGAAAATCAAACGGACCTGAGCGTGACAGATCGGGAGTAATCTGATGTAAAAGGACACATGTCTGTTTACATCCGACTCCACATAGACCAACATGAGTCCAGTGATTTCAGATGTCACAATGGTGACATCCTTTCTGAACTGCTCTGATATAGTTTCAGATGTTGAGATGAGAAATTCAATAAACCCAAACAAGTGCCCTTTTATGACTTTTTATGAATTTAGATATCTGTATTGGCACATACAGTTGAAACAATATAGAAAACATACTGCTAAACAGACCTTACTGTATGATTGCAGAACAATGTCTATGGTGTTACGTACAATGCAAGCCAGCAAAATGTAATAACATAATAAGTAATAATATCTATAATTAAAAGTGTTAATAAACCCTAAATTACAAAGAATAAGAGTAGCTGTATACTTTTCTCAGGTGCTCTGGTGCTGTGCTTGGGGCACACATTCACATTAAGAGCAGTACCCCAGAGATCATGGGACATGTAGTCCTGATACATTAAATTACTTGGCTAATCTCTGACATGTATACAGTGCAGGTTCAGGAAGCACAGCAGAGAGGGACACATGACAGAGATCTTCCAACAGTTAGCCGTCTAACTACAAAAGTAGAGCTACCGTGGAAGACAAAGATTCCTACTGCACATGACAAACAAATATACTTTTTACTTACATATTCATTCCTGGCATTCCAGGACCACCTAATGAATTGGGAGGAGGTCTCATTCCACTTCCATAGTTCTGGAACACAACAAGAACAAGTCAAATCTCAAGAAAGGGATTCTTAATTTAGCCCATGTTGTCCTAAGCTTATTTAAATGAAGAACAAAACAAACATTTACTAAAACATTCGTAGTAGGGATGTGGTCTGGGTGTCTGGGTTTGCTGCTACCATCGGTTCAAGGCAAAACCTGCTGATTCAAGATTTGCAAATTAGTTATTGTGGGCTTTAATTTGAGGTCAGTGACCACTTTTTGCTGCTCTTTCACCTATGGCAAACTTTTTTTTTTACTGTAATGTTTTCTTTAAAAAGGTGACTTTTGTTCCAGGGGTACTATTTTGATGTTTTTATTTCTTTTGTGTGCTTTTATTTTGATTTTAAATTGACAGGCTATTTCCAAGTCTTTTGTTTGCAGCATGCTGCTGCATTGTTAAAAAGGAAAAAAATGTAGGTGTAAGAACAGTGTGCACCTGAACTACTTCACATTACATTACTCAAATTCCTTGCACTCTGCTTGTCCAAATAGATAATATAAAACTTAGGCATACACCAGTTAGGCCTACTATCCCTGATTAAAACTGTCCTGCTGATGGCCAATTATACATTCCTGTATCCTCTGTGCAATCTACCTTTCTGTAGTAAAGCCCCAGCCTGTGCTCATTGTCTCTATTAAGCTTGGGCTAGTCTTGCTATTTATAATTGTCCTGCTGCTGGCCAGTTAGTAAACCTCCTACCTATACTGTTTGTCTGTAGTAAATCTGGGCCTAAAATGTATAATTAAAATTGTCCTGCTGATATCCAATTTTATGCTGCTGTATCATGCTGTATATTAATTCTTCTAGTAAAGCCCCAGCCTTTGCTCCTTGTATCTAGTAAATTTAGGCCTAGCCTAACTCATTAAAATAGCCAATTTTACAATACTATATCACATGTGGTCTCTTAATTCATGTAGTAAAACACCAACCTGTACTCTTTGTATCTTGTACATTTTGGCCATTTTCCCCTCATGTACTGTTCTCTAATACCATGTACAGCTTTAAGGCATCTCCCAAGCATGTAATTTAAACGATTTGTGTATTTTCATTGTTGCCCTTGAAGTGCATACAATGACACTCTCTCCACTGTACCCTATTTACATTTACTCCTGGCTGTTAAGGTACATTTAGAATAAAAGTTTAATACAAAAATAGTGTACAGAATACTCTAGATACAATACATAGATACATAACATATTTAACTGTTTGGAAAAAGTTTGGGATGGGGTACTAGAAATACATATGGAACCCTTAAGGGGTATTGGAAATAAAAACATATTTTGAGGTTCTGGGTTAACATACTAAAATGTTGTTTTTCATATTTAAATAGAAGTGTGTTTCCTGACTTGTTACCTGAGGCCCCATAGCTGACATGCTTCGTGGTGGGTTCATTCTCTGCATGGGTCCTGCCATGTTTGGATGCCCTAGAAAGTAACATATTTGTAGAATTTATTTAATTTATAATTCACATAATAATGGTTCTGTGATTTTAGTATATTTGTAGTCTGATGCAACTGATTTTAAAGTATACTTTCTAATTAGGAATCAGAATATTATTATTAATGTAGATATCAGCGAAGGAAGGGATACACTTAATGCCTTTTACTCTAGAAGTTCCTTTCTCAATGTTTTCACTCTGAACCTATCTACTGTCTTCTAGAATTTTAAAAGCTTGCCGACTTTTCCTTCCAGCCCCTGTCCATACCAAGGTATGGACTTTTAGTCACAGGGATGGGAGGAAATGTCAATGGACTACAAGTGCAGTGACGTCACTGTACTTGTACTCCACTAAGAACTATGAGTCTCTTTGCTGGGGTAGCAGACAGGATTTGTAATCTCTCCATTTACAGATCCTCAGCCTGAACAGGCACACCAATTTCAGACATATACAGTATCCTGTGGGGAGAAGAACTCTTGGAATCTGGCAAGGGGAGCATTGGGGGGGCAGGGCTGGGGATGTGACTATTTTTCGTGTTATATGCTCACTGTCTGTTCTCCACTGAAAAGTATTATCAAGTCTACCCAGTTAACCTCTGTGAGGGAGACAGTCCTAACACATTTCCTGTCCTGTCCAGCTTTAGGAAACAAGAGTTTCTGCCTTTTAAACTTGTCCTGCAAGAATGACGGTGTCTATTGGAGGGTTCCCCACACTGCATCATTATACATACAGATTAAAAAAAGTTCAATATCTGCAATCAAATTTAGATAAAAGAATCTGCGCTCTTGGAAAGGTAAGGCTAAAAAGTAATCCTAAAGCTGCTATGAATTGGTAAAATATGATGTGCAAGTGATAACACAGCGCTAAAGGTGGATTCCGTAAAAAAGTAGGTGTAAAATATAAATTAATATATTGCCTTGTTCTGAAGGTATATATATATATCATTTTTGATATTTTTGATATTTTTTCATTGGGACGTTATTCACTTATATGTATATACACATATATACACCTTGAGGAGGTAACTAGTCCCCCAGTTCGGTGGATATATATATACCTTCAGAACAAGGCAATATATTAATTTATATTTTACACCTACTTTTTTACGGAATCCACCTTTAGCGCTGTGTTATCACTTGCACACAATATCTGCAATCAGTTCGGCAATTGAAACCTCCCCAATCTCAATGGTCACTAGAATGCCCAAGATTTCATTTTGATATAACCTTTCAGCCAGGTTGCAGAAACACATGTGCAGGTCTTTTGATGTTGCCGACTCAGGGAGTCACTTCAACCCAGAACCAATTATTCTTCGTAACCAGAATCTGGCCAGTTCTCATCTCCAGCACCCCTACATTACCCAGAACAGGTTTGTGGCAGCAAATCTTTTCCCCAAACTCCCCAGATGAGTACTTGCTTCTGACCTTAATGGGCCGTGCAATGTGTGTACAGTTCAAGTCACCCACTTCTGCCCAGGCTGGATTAAACCTTCCTGTGGCTGTCTCATATGAACATTGGTGCTGTATTTCTATGGATTTTATCACTGTTCTACCTTCTTCAGCAATTTGGAAAGATTTTCCTAATTGGGTCACCTGACTTCCCTCCCAGAACTGCCAACAGTCTTCATCAAGGAATTATTTTGCCTCTTTGAAAATGCCTTCTCATATTGTCTCCGACAGGGGAGTTTGATTTATGGCACGCTTTTTGAGAGCCCTGAATCAGTCCTTTGGTAAAATGTTGGACTTTTCTTCTGCCTCTCATCTGCAGTCCAATGGTCAAACGGAAAGGGTCAATCAAAATATCAAACAATACGTTTGTACCTTTGCCTGGGCAGAATTTGATTTGAAATAACTACATCAATGCCAGCACTGTAACTTACTTTTTTCCTTCCCACACTGCTATGCTCTCTCTGTGTCTGTGGCATTTCTGGGTTCCATCTGAGGTGTTGTGGCCAATTGTATCACATGCACATGCCTTTTAAAGGGCCAGCAGCAATTTAAAGAATCTGCATCCACATGTCTGGCGCCCAAGCAACACTCCCACCTGCTTTAGAGGTCCTTTCCTGTGTTTCTGTTTTTAGTCTATTTCATCCTTGGCTTGACTTCCTTTGTGCTGAACTCAGTTGCCTGTTTTAATTAACTTGTCTGCTTCCTGCCCCAACCTCTGGCCAGTAATCTAGTTTTGTGCTTCATCTCCATCATGGTCCAGCCTGCTCCGGTGCTTTATTTCCACTGCTTGGTCCGATCTGCAGTTTACCCCATATGCTCCCGGGCTGGGGTCTGCAGTTTCACTGCTTGTTCCTTTTTGCAGTTTATCCAGTACACTCCAGGGCTGGGATTCTCAGGCCAACTGGTTCATATTTTTCTCCTATACACGCCTATTCTGTGTTCCAGCTTGTTCCATTGTGCTCTGCAGCCTTAAGTCCCTCTCCCCAACACAGTTCCTGTCTTCACTGCTGCCACTAGAACACTGCTATGCTCATATTCTACTCCAGGTGCGGGTTTGTCTGCAACATTGAGCAAACCCTAAATTCCCACAGCCCATTCCTTAACATTAAAAAGGGAAGATGCTCGGTTGGATTTTTAGGCAAATATAAACACTTAAAAATGTAAGCAGCAGATTTAATTTTTTTTTAAAGTTATGCTATATGAATGAGAACATGTAACGAATATAAAGTAGGTGTTATCCCAATTTGGCTGCAAACGTGGAATACACTTTAAAAATCCTTGTTGTTTTATTTATTTTAAACCTTACCTATTCCTGCCCAATGTCTATAATACTTAATTGCAGATGGACTTTTATAAATTTACATATGCAAATAGGACACACAGAATAACCAAATCAGTACCCCTAACACATTAAACCCAAGATGTATGGGAGTCCCCCACTTAGCCAAGTATTCTCTAACTGTCCATCTCCAACGATGCTGTCATGGTCTACATTAAAACCTCAGAATAAATGGTCTGTAATTGATGTCTTATAATCTAGGCTGCTACATGCATGTTCTCTCATATAGTCTTCTTTGGATATTAAACCCATACAACCTCTTCTAACCCCAATGCCATTATGAACATCTGGAAAAGGTTTAGGAATTTTTTTTATAATTTTACCTATAACCTACCACCACTAGTCAAAATTGTATCTAAGCCCCTTATGCCCGATAGTCTCACTAAACAACCATCAACCCTTGGGCCACAGTAGGTGACCCAAATGAGACATCTCATTTACTGACATACCAACAAATTAAGATTTTATTAAGATCTCATCACTAAATACAAATGGTAGAAAACATTTTTGCACTCCTGTCTTCAAATCAGACATTTCATGTATATTAAAGCGCCAAAGCAATAATTAGCAAAACCCATACAATTTGAAATACAGGGGTTGATTTACTAACTGCAAAAGGGCAGTTCACTTAACAAAGTGAATTTTCACTTTAGCTTAGTGAATGAGGTGAAGCTCTGTAGACTTCCGCCATCCAATTATATGCAAACAAAAATACAATTTTTTACATTTTCCTTGCATGTTTTTGGAAATTCTTTGCAGAATTGTTTTTAACCACATTCACTAAGCTAAGTGTAAATTCTCTTGAAAAGTGAACATGCTCTACTCAACACCATTATGCTCTCTAGGTCCTGGTTAAAAAACATTTGATTACAAATATATATAAACTTGTTATACAACCATCAACAGAACCCTTACAAAAGAACAAATATAACAAAACATGGGAACAAGTTGTACATCAAGACATTCCTATTCCACTAAGAAGATAATATGGAACAATAGGATTGATTTACTAAAGGCAGGCTGGCTGCCCTTTTACACTTTGCAAGATAATTTCCACCATCCACACATTGGCAAGCACAAAACTGTGTTTTATTTTTTTACAATTTCCTTGGATGTGTTTAGGTATTTATTGCAAAGTTTATTACAAGTTAACTTTTTATTGCAAAGTTTCACCACATTCACTAAGCTAAGGAAAGTTTCTCCTTCCACGTTAAATTTCCTTTAGTAAATCAACCCCAATGCCTCAAATCAGCTATTTGCACAAACAGAAACCAACAACCATTCAATAAAGAAACCAAATCAAAATAATGATTATGTGGGACAGAACCCCAGCCCTCCTTCATTATTATAACCCTACAATCCCAAACAGATGTTGGAGATGCCAAGGCAATGATGAGTCTTAATGCCAAATCTTTTAGACTTGTCCTCGGATTGTCCCATATTAGTCTCCTATATGTTGAACCAAGTTATAGGGGTTGGTCGCCCTTTGAATATTGTAAATTTCCTCTTGGGTTTGACCTTCCAGATTGTCATACATCCATAAAAAATTTGTAAAAAAATATATACTCCTGGCTAGATGCCAAATTTCTCTGTGATGGAGTTCGGAGTATGTCCCCACCTGCTGTGATTTAATTAATAGAATTCTGTGATGGCCAGAAATCATGATCACATTTGCATATTCCAAATTATCTGGACTGTTTGAGATGAAACCCTACATGCTTCACGCTGCTCCCCTCACCTTGTTCCGGGCACAGCGTGAAGCATCATCCAGCCGGGCAGCAGCCAATGAGTGGGAGCGGTGTAATCCCCGCCCCCTCATCACACAGAACTGCTGCCCAGTGCCGAATAGAGCTGCTGCGGACATTAAGGGGGAGACAGGGAGCTGGAAGCATGAAGGAAGGTGACATGGGGTTCGGGAGCGGAAAGCTGGGGACATGAAGGGGGAGATAATGGGGAGCTGGGGACATGAAAGAGGAGAGTGTTTTTTTTTCTTGTTTCTATTTATATAAAAAAGGAATGTTTCTATTTATATAAAAAAGGAAGGAATTGCTTTCACTATGTGCAATGTTCTTTCTCTTTCATGAACTATAAACATATGATGTAGTGGTCGACGTGTTCTGTAATCTTATAACATGCAGTCCTTTCCTTAATCCTATGCTGCTATTTATGGAAAACAGGAAGCTATGAATTATCATCTTTGCTTCCATTATCTGCAAAGTTCTTTCTCTTACATGAATAACAAATGTATGATGTTACCTAATTACCTACCTATGTATGCATTGACAAATGGAAATGATTTTAAAACTGAATAAAAATATTTGAAAGCTTCATGTATTTGCCCCTAGGAATACTCTGTATGACAAAATGAGTGTCAGTAATAATGATGTTATAAAATGGATAATAACAATAGCAAGAAAAGAAACACAGGTAGCGAAAAATGTAGTGTTCCCTTACATTGGTGGTTAATAGAAAGTGCTCCCATACATTGAAGATCAATGAAGTGCCCCCTTACAATGGTGGTCAGTGAAGAAGGGCCCCTCAGATGGATGGTCAGTGGGGGAATGACCCCCCACATTGGCTTTCAGTGGCAGAAGGGCCCCTTTATACTGGTAGCTAGTGGGAAAAGGTCCGTATTACACTTGTGGTCAATGGATTTTTAATTATGCAGACATCCTAGAATATAACAGCAACCAACATTTCCCAACTTCAACACTTGACACTGCCTAACCTTGTAAAAAAAGTTCTATTAGGAAAAATAGAGAAATTCCCATTGAACTGAAGCAAATCTGTATTTTGGTCTGTGTACTTTGTTACATTTGTTTACTTTTGTATTGACCTGACATTGTTCTGGTATTTACACCAGGGCCACATTCTCAACAAGGCTAGGCCTCTGGGAGGCAGGGAGTAGAGGGGTGACACAGCCGCAAGGCAGGTCGTTTTTTTTCTACAGTACATTTAGCCCTGCTGCGGGCAAGCAGGGCTAAATGTAGAGTGTGGAAGCCAGCGCTCATTTACTACAAGTGATCCCAGCAATGCTGCCAAGATCCAATGTAATAAGCCTGCAGGTCCATCCCCCCTGCTGCCCCCCCTCCATGGTCCTCCCCCACCTCCAGCTGCCTCTCTCCCAGCTGGCTGCCTCCCTCCTCGTCATGGCTTTCTGGGTCCCCCGGTCTTCTGGGAGACCCGGGACCATGGCAAAGTAGTTCAGGATGGAGAGCGGGGAGCAGAGCGGAGAACGTCCGTTCTCCACTCTGCTCTGTGTAAACACTGAGATGGCAGAGCTGCTTTCCCATCTCAGGTGTCACAGGACAGCCAGCACAATGCTGTGCACAAACTCCTGTATTGGAGGTGACATGTTCAATAAAGAGAACCTGATAGCAATAAAGTTAAGTGGAAAAAAAATGTAAACATAAAAACTAAAAAAAATTGATAAAAAGTAAAGAACAAATCAAATAAATAGAATTTGTAAAAAAAAAAGTAAACAATAATAAGAATATATTTAAAATAAAAAAGTGATAAAGTTAATAATAATAATAATAATAAAATAAAACATTTATAAAAAATAAAAAAGTAAAAGATAATAAGATGAATAA